TGTGTACTGTGTAAATAACACTTGTCAATGTCACTGTTTCTGCTGTGTCTGTTTTCCTCGTCCACAGTGGATTTGTTCTCCCTTCTTACTTTCAGTAACGGTTCCAGTAGTATTACTTTCTTCTTTCGCCGCATCTCTTGCAAGTAGACCATCAGCTTCGTTCGCTGTTACTTGATTCCAGCTACATTTACATTTATTCATCTAGCTGACACTTTTATTGAAAGCAACTTACAATTGCTATATATGTACATTTACGGTGGTAATCTTTACTCATTACTACTGATGGCAACATTGCCCAGCAACATTGCTCTAAAAGTTGCTCCGTGTATCATCAGCTTCAGGCTATGCCGTTGAAGTATAAATCAGGCTTTAAGGGGGGCTAAACTGGGGCTATGCAGATGTGACGGGGCTCTAGCCTCCCCTGGCCCTGGTGTAGTGCTGTTACTGCATACTATAAATATGTTTCATGATAATAAGTGTTTAAAAGATCAAATCACGCTGACATGGCAAAAAATATGTAGAATTTGTTCAATAAACAACATGTTTCAATAACATTTACACAAAACAAATAATGCAGCATCACAAAAACGTTAAACTATGTTTTCTGTAAAGATACTGAAGGTAAAATGCATTTAATTCCTGTAACCAGCTCACACACACGCAGCAAACATGTGGCGCTGCGAGACTTCCGCATAGTTACTCTATGACGCACTCACCTCCAGCCAATGGCAGAGTGGGAACCGCACAGTAACATTCGCATATCCTGCATTTAAGAAGAACCAGCGCCGCCAGAACGGCTACAATTGACTGCGAGCAGAGAAATTGTGACCATGCCTGAACCAGCGAAGCCAGCGCCCAAGAAGGGCTCCAAGAAAGCCGTGACCAAGACCGCCGGCAAGAAGGACAAGAAGAGGAGGAAGACCAGGAAGGAGAGCTACGCCATCTACGTGTACAAGGTGATGAAGCAGGTCCACCCCGACACCGGCATCTCCTCCAAGGCCATGGGCATCATGAACTCGTTCGTGAACGACATCTTTGAACGCATCGCCGGGGAGGCCTCCCGTCTGGCCCACTACAACAAGCGCTCCACCATCACCTCCAGGGAGATCCAGACCGCCGTCCGCCTGCTGCTGCCCGGAGAACTGGCCAAGCACGCCGTGTCCGAAGGCACCAAGGCCGTGACCAAGTACACCAGCTCCAAGTAAACCCGCTCCACATCCCCGAGATACAGAAACAAACCAACGGCTCTTTTAAGAGCCACACACACTTTTCTGGAAGAGCTCAGTTCCATCAAACATTAAAAACTGAATAAAACCAATGTGGTTATAAATGCATAGTTTACTGAGGCGCTTTTTCTGGCTAAATTCCTCTGGTTGTGAGACCACGGTTGGCTCATGAATCTGATTTACACTTATAACTGTTCATGTAAAAACAGGAGTCCTGCCTCTTTGATGTCTATAGATAAGTAAAATGTGAAGGTAATAAAATTTAATCAGAAACGTGCTGTACACTAATACTCACTAATAACCTGTGTAAATGTATTTGCCAAAAAGGGTCTGGAAATAGAGATTTTAGATTATATTAGAAGATTATATTTTATGTCTACAACATAGTTGGTAGTCCTTAGAGCATAAAAAGTTCTTTTATTTGTCAAATTAAAAAGCACCATTTTTAGTAAAATAAAATTTGAACGTAGCTTTGATCAACACCCCTCTTTTTCAGTTAAAAAATATTGGCAGTTATATATATATATATATATATATATTGATACCTGTAATTGTATATATGACGCAAAAGAAACCAAAATTACAGAATGTCAAACACAAATTCACTGTTATAGTCTTAATGTTCTTGAATGTATATTTGGTTTCAGACATGCAGTATTTCTCATCTTCCCTCTTTCTGTCATACCAGTGTAATTTTTTTATTTATTTGAGTCATTTCTCTGCATTGAGGATCACATTAAATGTGTAAGTTTTATAATATATAATAATATACATGAACCATATTAATATGTGAAAAGCTTTAGAGAGTTACAAAACAGAAGTTAACGGCTGACCTGGAGGCGGGTAGTTTGAATTTTATTTGATGACCCGCTGTATCACGTGACTATTTGCCCAATCAGCGCTGCCCGCGCTCCAGCTCTCGCTATATAAAGCAGCCACTCTGGCACTGGGCTCATCACTACTTCTCTGAAGAAGAAAGCTGAGACTCGTCAACAATGGCCAGGACCAAGCAGACCGCCCGTAAATCCACCGGAGGAAAAGCTCCCAGGAAGCAGCTGGCCACCAAGGCCGCCCGTAAGAGCGCCCCGGCCACCGGCGGAGTGAAGAAGCCCCACCGCTACAGGCCCGGTACCGTGGCTCTCCGAGAGATCCGCCGCTACCAGAAGTCCACCGAGCTGCTCATCCGCAAGCTGCCCTTCCAGCGCCTGGTGAGGGAGATCGCTCAGGACTTCAAGACCGACCTGCGCTTCCAGAGCTCCGCCGTCATGGCTCTGCAGGAGGCCAGCGAGGCTTACCTGGTCGGTCTCTTCGAGGACACCAACCTGTGCGCCATCCACGCCAAGAGGGTCACCATCATGCCCAAAGACATACAGCTGGCCCGACGCATCCGCGGAGAGAGGGCTTAAACTCACACACCCACACCTGGAAACAACACAACGGCTCTTTTAAGAGCCACCTACCTCATCCAAGAGCTGCATCCTGCCTGCAAACACCACACAGACAAGCAGCCACGTTAACGCTCAGCTGCTCATGGAAATACAGGCACACATAAAACACATTGTCACTGTCCGATGAAAATCACGTATCTCCGTTTTTTTTTCTCATAAACAAACCCCCGGCTATTACTGTAATGTACCCACTATAAGTGAAACACTAGCTTTACACGGTCAGAGAAATGTTTAATATTTTAAATGGACGTGTTTTTTTAAATAACAGGCTCCAATGACTTGCGGGTGGTTCTGAGCCTCGAGTCTCTGTTTACATCCCCATCAATTGACAGTAAGCCTACCCTACAGATTTCCTTTTGATCAACAAGCACAGCAAAGTGTCTGAAAAGGACCTTAAGAGGTTCATGCACAATTGGGCAAAATCGATGATGCAGGCTACCTGCACAGATTTGCATCCACCTCTTTCTCAGCATAAATGAGTGTTACCAGCAGCGAGGTGCATGCAATTCTCGGAAGGCATGCTTAATTCGGCACAACATCGACACTGACGTGTGTACATTTTTCACCTCAGGTAAATCACTTAGCTTGTTGTAATCCTTGGCTGAAAACTGAACGCTTTTAATCCAACGCTATCGTTCCAAACACCTATCATAATTTCTGTTTCCCCCAAATAATACACCGGACAAGTTGCCACAAAAACTTAACCGCATCCGTCGGCTATTAAGATACTTTGTTTAAATTAACAGCTACAGCGCTTTCCTCTAAAAGGGACACATGTAGCTCTGTTTTATAAACGTTACCTGCAGTCGCTAGTTAAAGGCAAAACTTCAGATGCTACCTGAGCTAAATAATAAGATGCCGGTTTTAAAAATAATGCTAATCATCATCAATATGCTATCTTAATATCGTGAACAACAATAGTGGACAATGACCAAATAAAATCAAATTGGTTTAATCAACAAAGGTTGATGTATTTTGTGGCTTGACATTTTGAAAATGTCAAGCTACAAAATACATCACAAAACACATTAAATATTATAATTATGAACAGTCAGGAAAGATGGTCAAGCTATTTGTTAGAGACAATTGACTCTTTAATACTACTACTTAATAATTTATTTAATACTTTGAACAACTATGAATTATATTCAACGAAGGTTAAAATGAAGGGCAACTGGACTTGGTTGAATTATATTAATATCATTAAAACCTGTAAAGCCATCACAAAGTCAGATAAAATTTAATTACACTGAATTTAATAAACAACTGTAACCAAGTCAGCCTATGTACATCTGTGTGTGCGTGCGCTTGTGTGATATTCCAGCCGATGATGGGCATCACTCATGGTCCAGTCCATCATAGAAGGAATGGAAGTCCTTGGGCAAGACCTTCTTCAGTTCTTGAAGGTGTTTGAACTTCAGCGCTTTTATTTTCTGGCTGGATGTGTACAGAGGGGACACTGTGGTGACACGTCTCTTCTTCCTGAGAGATGGAGACGGATAGACTTCCCAGTCATCTGAGTGGAGAATCTTGTACTCCATAGTGCCATCCACGTTGTATCTAGTGGACAGAGGGAAGATATTAGAAGGGGAAAGAGTGATAGTGAGAAGATATGAAGTCAAATTTAACAGATTAAATTACAGACAGTATGTCTTCCACAGTGGTGGAAGTAGTATTAAGAACTTAAAAGTAGCAAAACCACACTGTAGAAATATTAGAAGTATAAATACATTAAAATATTACTAAAGTAAATACACACAATTATTACCATCAAAATATACTTTAAAAATATACTTTGTTGCAGCTGGTAAAGGTAAAGCTGATTCCAACTACTATTTGCTGAACGGCTTGGTAATATGCTTCATAATATAGTTTGATTGAGTAACTAAAGATGCCAAATAAATGTAGTGGAGTAATAGTACAAAAACAAATACCTGATTCCTCGAAGATCATGGACTGTTGGATCTCCAGCTTTTTTCCCTGGTCGGATGGACTTGCAGATGGTCACTTGGCTGAAGTCGGTGGAGAAACTGTGGTCCACGTACCTCACATGGTATGGCCTGGGATTGGAGCGAGCTCCCCGGATCACTGCAGCATACTCAGCCGGAACACAGATCTCTCTGTCTCTTAGTTTTCTCTCTATCACACTCCATTTGTGTGTGACCTCGTTCCAGATACTTCTGCGTCACTATCTTCTGTTTTTCGGTCGCAAACTTGAGGAGGGCGTTGCTCAGGAGCAGGTTTCGACTCTGGTAGCCGCATCCATCACTCCACAGGATGTATTCTTCGTATGAGGGGTTTGCTTCAAGAAAGTGCACGATGCATGAAGCAAACTCGTTGGCAGAGAGACCAGCTTCACCTTCATGCCACAGGTAATTTGTTGCATCATGTGATGACATGTCAAAGATGGTGAAGTTATGAACACTGAGCTTAGTCTTGTAATAGAGGGCGGAGGCTTGCAGCTTGGGGCAGAGCGGGAGCCCCTGTAGATCCATGCAGGCCACCAAGGTCTTCTCACCAGCCTCATCTTTGTCCTTCTGCTTCATGGCTCGTGCTGTGTCTTTTTTAAGGCAGTGCTCCTCCCATGTGGCAGCTTCAATGTTTCCAGCCTTGAATGAACAGCATGTATCACACTGGTCTTTCTTTGGGTGAAAAAGAGAAAGATTTAAGTCATTGAAAATGTTGGCGAAAACTTGCCTCGACAGAGACTGGATTCCATGTTCGGCACAAGAGCGCTTATACTCAGCGTGGAGATGATTGAGAGACTTGAACTCCGGCTCCAGGTACATCTTTGATGAAGAGGACCTACAGTAGTGTGATGGAACCTTTGGAAGATCTACAAGGAAGGTCTTAAGGAAGTCCTGCTCTTCTGACCTCACTCTCGCTCTCTCAGTCTTTTCAGGACTCTCTCCTCTTCTTCCTACCCATTTCAGAAAACACCACTGCTTTATGCCTAGTGTAGACAGGAACATGCGTTGGCACACTCTGGTGCTTCTTGCATCCACTACAAGGTGACAAGAAATGGATGCCGACCTCCTGGATTCATCTAATCCTGTGCGCCGCCGCTTTACACTGCTGACCTCGACTAAAGACTTAACAAAAATTTTCCTCTCTTTCCAGTCTAATTTCCCCCAGAAATTAGGATCTCCTCCCTCTTTGACTCCTCGACTTCATTGCAATGCAGTTTAGTGGACTTTTGGCAGGCCGCAGACTGGCATGGCATCCCTATTTTTCTTGCCTCCTTCAACCCAGGCTCTTGATTCTTCCTCCCGAGGTAGGACTGGCCCCTCATTCTCCTTCTTTTCTGAATATTCACGTTCCAGGTCTCTGGATTTCCTTTCTTCCTTGACCTTCCTGGACGAGCCCCACCAGCTGAAGAATCCTCCTCAACTCCCTCTCCTTTTGATTAAAAGAAAGAGAAAACAAAAATTCTGTAAATGTCCTCAGTGTGTCGTAATGGTGTATGTCTGCATGAGAAAGACAGCGTGTGCAGCTGACCACAAACAGTAACAAGCCAACTAGGAAAACATCCAGCATTCACTTCCACAAACGCTACTGCATTAAAGACATCACACACACTTATGTGTGCATCAGAGTCTGTTAATTGGTGCGGTTTTATTACTTCTTACTCGATTGTGATCTCTAAATTGCTTTGTGCTATATTTTTTTGTATGAAAGATTGTATACAAAGGATTTGCTGTTATTCTTATTATTATACATTCAAAACGTGTGCACACCCAGTTAAGTTCAGGTGCAAGACAAATATATCAGTACAGGACACAAAGGAAAAAGGTCTGCACACCGTCCCACCGACTTAAAATAAATTTGTTTCCGAGGCAATGCTTGATTCTATGAGACCAAATCAAAATGTTGTCCTCAAGAACAGTTTTTATTTGGAGTCTAATGGTGTGCAGGCCTTTCTGTCCCAGGTCATAATACCTACCTTCATTTTCAAATCCATGCATTTAGATATGTGAAGCACTGTGAGCTGCATTTGTTGTAGGAAATGTTTTCCACACAAATTAAATTTTTTTTAAATAACTTTAATAATACCTACCTTCACTTTCACATTCATCCGGTACAAAAGCAGGAGACTCAACCTGGTCACACTCAAGGGAATCTGGAAAAGATAGAGAAGAACACATAAAGTACACTTAATACAATAATGACATCATCCAATGTTGCTGACTTTGCATTCTTTGCTCTGGCTGTCTTAATCCTAGTTTTCCACAAACCTTCTTCCTCACTGCTGACACTGGCTGCTGCCTCTACTGCCCTATCGTATTTAACATTGACCAATGCGCAAAGCTCTTCTAATGAAAACGACATGTCTATCCTGAAAAAGAGGAAGAGTGCACACACCAGACAACATCATTTAAGGTACTCTGCGTGAGAAATCAGATGTTGACGAATACATCTAAGTCCCTAATGAAATGTACAACAATGCTGCCATGATAAAATAAAAAAGCATCGCTCGATTTGAGAATGACACGATGTAATTAAGTTAATAAGTCTAACCTAGTAACTTACTTATCCACGGTATAAAACGTGTTTACAAACAATGCAAACAATTTGATATATCTGTGATTTTATATCAGATTATTTATATAAGATATCTGATCGTAATACAAATCGAGACTTATTACCCAGCTAACATTAGCTAGCTGTCGAAAGTCACACTTTGTTGATGTTAAAGAACAAAATGTCGTTAGCTAATCTACACAGATGCCAGTCGAAAAATACTATGAACATGTACAAACTTATTATTAAATAATAATCTTAAGGTGATACTTTACCTTGGCGACGTTGTCTTCCACAGAAAATTAAGAGTGCGCTCTGCTTCTAACTTTCACAGCAGGGGCATCCAGCCTGCAGCGGGAGATACGCTGTTTGATGGACACTTTTCACATCCAGTGGAGATACTTGTTCAATACATAACGTCATAAAACCTCTTTTAATTGGTCAATTCGATTACGAACGCTGACAGCATACAGAGGAGAATTTGCTT